ACCTTTCTTACCTGGGACAGACCACCAGCTTGTCTCTCCTGCTGTGGGCGGAGCCGTGCTCACCGGAATCCGACTTCTGCAGCAGCACCCCCAGCCGGTGCTTCATGTCCTTGGCACTGCACAGAAGGGGACACATAGTGGTCCTGGGCTCTCGTTAAAAGACGCCCGGCTGCGAGAGCCCGTCGCACTTAGGGAGGTGGAGATGTGCACGCTCCCAGGTCAAGGAGCCCCCATGCCCCTGCCTGGGACCCAGGACAGAGCCCAGACAGCAGCACCCTTCCCAGGTGCTGGGAGGCTGACCCTCCGCCAGCAGCAGCCTCTCCTGGAGCCTGTCATTTCCACCAACAGCACAAGGTGTGACCTTCAACAGAAGGTGTGACCTTCAACAGAAGCCCATTGAAAACGTGCTGATCTTGGAGGTGAGGAACTGGGAAGCTCCAGGGCTGACAGGGTCCCTTCCTGTGGTGCCACCTCCTGGACAGAAGTTGCTATTGCCACCGCTGGCTGCTGGCCCGGGATGCACAGGCACTGGGGAAGGTGGCCTGTGATTCCAGCCCAGGGAGGTGGGCCTGCGACCTGCACCCTGCGCCCTGTGCCTCTGCCCTGTGCCCTGCGCCCTGTTCCTGCACCCGCGCCCTGTGCCCTGCGCCCTGCGACCTGCACCCTGCACCCTGCACCCTGCACCCTGCACCCTGCACCCTGCACCTGCACCAGATGTGCGGTTGGCAGAGGGGCTGGACAGTGAGCCCCAGCTCCTCAGTGGCACTGCTTTCCTTTGTACTCTCTGCACTGCAGGGACATTTACACCCTAAAGGGCACTGGGGGCTTCAAAAGAACCCAGAGAAGCAAGTGAGAGTCACAGGTGGGCAGCCAGAGTCACAGGAACAGGACTCAGAGACAAGGACCTTCCAGCTCAACCTTCTTATTCTTTAACTAGAGGCCCGGTGCATGAAACTTGTGCACCAGGAAGTGGGGTCCCTCAGCCTGGCCTGCACCCTCTCATAGTCCAGGACCCCTCAGGGGATGTCCACCTGCCAGCTTAGGCCCACCTGAGCCGACAGGCAGACATCACTCTCACAGTCCACGACCCCTTGCTCCTTACCGCCCACCTGCTCACTGTCCTCAGTGCTGCCACAGAGGCAGGAGAGGCTCCCGCCACCGCCGCTGCGCTCGCCAGCTGTGAGCCCGGCCTCTACCTGAGCGGTGCTCCCCCTGTGGGAGCGCACTGACCACCAGGGGGCAGCTCCTGTGTTGAGCGTCTGCCCCCTGGTGGTCAGTGCATATCATAGCAACTGGTCGTTCTGATCATTCCGCTGTAACTGTCGCTTAGGCTTTTATTATATAGATTATTCCTTTACTTGGATCTCCTTCATTATAAGAGCCCAGAAATCACTTTATAAGAGAAGTGTCATTTGAAAAGAAGTGCATGGCTATCAGAGGGAGGAAAGCGGAGCCGTGAGTGATAAGCTACATCTCACAGCCGTGCTGTCAGGGGCATGTCCAGGTGCATTTCCCCAGGAAACGGGACTCTCGCTGTTCTGGGGCTGCCCCTGGCAGTGTCCTCCCTCCCTCACAGGACTGTGCCCTCCTCTGCCTCCCCACCTGGTCCCTGTCAGGCTCCTCTGTAATGACAGAAGAGGGCATCGAGGAGGCTGTGGGACTGAGACTAAGGGGGCCCTATCAGTGGACAGCATTCTCCAGAACAGCCTGCTGAGCTCTGACGGGAACCGATCACCACACCGTCCCCTCATGCAGAGGTGGCCCATGCCTGACCTACAGCACATGCCACACGAGGATAAAAACCATGAGGACTCCATGGCTCCCTGGAGCCAGGACACCTGCATCTGCTCTGCCCTCACCCTCCCCGCCCCCCCCACACACACACACACACACACCCCAACGTGACCTTGAGCCCAGGCACAGAGCTGGAATGAAGGGCTGGACTCGCTGGTCTGCAGCTCCCGGAGAGGACAGACCAGCAGCTCACCCTCCGGCTGGGGTTTACCCCCTGCCCCCCGGGCAGCCTTTCCTCTGTGACTACACCGGCCGCCCACCCCGTGCTTTGCACAGTTTCTGAGTGAGTGAAGCTTGGAGTCTTGCTCCACTGGGGTCAGACGTTGCTGGGGGATCACTATCTCACTTTCTGCCAGACCCTCCTGCTTCCCGCCAAAGCCCCCCGGAGCCCATGAGCAGGGAACCTCCTTCCTCCTGAGTGGCCGAGCCCCGGAAAGTCCGTGCCCGGGAGGCACAGGACACGGTGCCTTCTGGGAGATCTCCAACTTGAACTGAAGGTGGTTGCCATTTGCAGGGAGATGAGAAGAGGGTGCTCTGTCTACGGACGGCTTCCTGCCCTTCGTGGTGAGATTAGCTCATGGAATACGGGGTTCATTTCACTTCAGCTGGGAAGCATTCCCTGGAAGCGTTTACTGACTCTTTTAAAGACACAGCACATGATAAAGCAGTGTTTGCGGGGGAGACCTTCCACAGAGCCCTGAGCCTGAGCCCTGAGCCTGAGCCTGAGCCCTGAGCCTGAGCCCTGAGCCCTGAGCCCGAGCCCTGAGCCCTGAGCCTGAGCCCTGAGCCTGAGCCCTGAGCCCTGAGCCCGAGCCCTGAGCCCTGAGCCTGAGCCCTGAGCCTGAGCCCTGAGCCCTGAGCCC